TGGGTGGGTCGCTTTTCCAGTTACGTTTTTTTCCGCCAGCAAAAAGGGGAAACGTATGAGGTTGAGACTGGGTCGCATGGAAATCCCTGAGTCTACATTTTAAAAGAAAAAAATATTTCATAAAAGGGCACTTTTTTCACTCCCATTCTCCTGATTTTCTTTTATCCAACGAAACAAAGATAGAAAATTATACTTCCCTCACAAGTACCTGTTTGCCAGCTGAGTAGAGGAAAAATACCAATTTTGACATATGACTTCATAGCGTTAGATTATTAGAGAGAAGTATTTTAAAATGGATTCTCCAGCCTTAAATAAGGGACGTAATAAAAGATTTCCAGTTTGGTAAACATAGAATCATTGAGGTAATGATTTTGATAAAAATCGGGACTTTCAACCCCATATGTCATGTATTCAATATTTCAATGGGAACGTACTTTAAATGTGCGTTTCCCATTTCGCAAAAAATGGATGAATGAATCACTATACAAGGTAATAGAGCGCCGAAGGCGTTAGCGAGTTTGTTTGCCCGAAGGGCAAACAAACTCGCTAACGCTACAAACTCGAAGGGCAAACAAACTCGCTAACTAGTGAGTTTGTTTGCCCTTCGGGCAAAGAAACTCGCTAGTATATAAATATATATGAGTAAAGAACGTAGATATAAAGAGTAGTTGGCCAGTTTAGCAATTACCCGAATGGGCAGTGGAACTGCACTCATTCAAGGTGTACTGTCAACGTTTTGCTTTGCGTCCAGCAGTTTATGGTATTCATGGCTTTGTAAGTTGACTGTATTACTGATTTTTGGTCTTGGCTTTTTCGGGGTGATGGGTGGTGTGTGGGCTATAGTCCCCAGCGACGCAGGAGCAGTTGCGATTAGAGTCCTCTGCTGTTTTGGCATAGTTTGTTTCCAGGATTCAATGGTTTTCTGCCCTCTTCTCCTGGGCTAGTGGCCAGACATTTCTTGCCTGTTGCCGTGGGGTGGCTTTGGCTGGGAGGGGCATTGCAGTCTTCTTCTATTCAATATATATATATATATATATGTACATATTGAGTTGTTAAGAAAGTATTTCGAGTTTTTTTCGAATTTTGGCCATGCCCTTCGGCATTTTAGAAAATTTTCGAAATTAAGCATGTATTTAAAGGGCTCACTAATGCACCTTCTCATAGTTTCCACTCCATCTTCGGTGAGCTCTGGAAAGAGAAAATGGAAGTAAAGCCCGTGCACATCCGACACTGCCTGCTCTTTGACTTCGACCTGGCCGTCTCCGCTACTCAGGCGCACCGTCATTTGCGCCAGACGGAAGGCCGTGACGACCCCTCCCTCAACACCTGCCACGACTGGTACAATCGCTTCCGCTCCGGCGAAAGGATCCTCGAGGTCCGACCTATGTCGGGACGTCCCTCCGAGGTGGACTTGGACGCCCTGCTCAGGCTCAGCCTGGTGGAGGCCGACCCGAGAGCAACCAGGCGCAGTCTGGCCGCCACCCTCCTCTGCTCCAACGCTGCCATCGACAATCATCTCCACTCTATCGGCAAGGTTCTTAAGATAGGAAGTTGGGTGCCCCACACTCTGACCCAGAGGGACCTCGGCGCTCGGTCTGAGACCTGCACCCATCTCCTCTCGCGGAGGCGCAGCTTCCACTGGGTTGCCCATGTTGTGACTGGGGATGAGAAGTGGTGTCTCTATATCACTCATACCCGGAAGCGCCAGTGGCTGGACGCTGCCGAAGAGGCACAGCCAGAGCCGAAACCTGACCTGCACCCGCGGAAGGTTATGCTGAGCGTGTGGTGGGACGTCCTTGGCATCGTGTACTGGGAACTGCTGCCGCCCAACACCACTATCACTGCTGACTACTACTGCTCCCAGCTGCAGCGTTTGAAGCTGAAACTCGAAGCGACGCGACCGCAGCACGACAAAATATTATTCCTCCACGACAACGCCCTACCCTATATTGCGAAGTCGACTCGTCTCAAGCTCTTTGAGCTCGTGTGGGAAGTCCTGCCCCACCCACCGTACTCCCTCGACTAGGCCCCCTCAGACCTCTTCCACTCTCTCCAAAACCACATGCAGGGGAAGCACTTTGATACCCAGAAGGCGCTCGAAACTGACCTCGAGCACTTCTTCGAGGCCAAGCCCCAGGCGTTCTACAGGGAGGGCATCCACTCCCTGCCCGAAAGGTGGAGGAAGGTTGTGGGCAACGATGGTGTTTACATTGTGGATTGATCTGGTTTTCATTATGAAGAAAAAGAGAATGAACAAAAACAAGAAAAACTCCAAAGACTTCCTTAACAACCCAATAGTTTCGTCAGCATCCGGTATCCCTGGCTCATTCATCTAGTCTGGCCTATCCGGTTTCTCTCCTGGCCCTACATCATGTGTAAAATCTCTCCCCCTATTTACAAATATTTAAAAAGCGACCTCAAGAGCCTCCGTAATTGTAACCCCTTCCCACCGGCAGAAAAATCCTGGAGAAGCATGTGTCCCGCTCCAACACGATGACCTAGAGCTCAGCTAAGGAGGCATCTGCTGTTTCCACTCCTGTCGCACTGCAGTCACGAAGTCGACTGACAGCTCACTCGTTGATCACGACCTTCGGTTAACGAGCTCAGGATTTCTCAAGGTATTCGAGACGATAGACCATAAGCGTAGCGTGGAAGGAAAAAGTCGTCCCACTCCCCCCGCTTCTTCCACGGGGCACGGGAACTCTGGGGCACTGTTATCATGCATTTCATGAGTCTTTTCCTGCTTCTTTTTGCTTCTTTTCCTGAAAAGTGGGGGAAGGGGGGGGGCGGGACGTGTCCTTCCCCCCCCCCCCCTCCTTCTGTCTCCCCTGACGCTACGCCGCTGCTATAGACGGTACCACCTTCCTGTTGAAGCCATCGGCCAGTCTTCAGTCGCACTATTTGTTTTTCTCGCAAGTTTCTCCAGGGAAACCATCCAGTAACCCTCGCGGAAGCTGCTTCCAGTCTCGCTCTCAAGATGGATTCATACAGAGCGGGAATCGGAGCGGAAATCGTAAAACGGAAGCCAGCGGTTACCGCCAGCACAAAACAGAAACCGCTGGTCGGAGACAGACCCCCGGAGACAGAAGGAGCGGAACTTCCGACTGTCCGTCAGCGACCGTCACCGCCTCCTGGACGGAATAATCTGGACTCAAGAAATAGATCGAAAAGAGATCGAAAAGGTCCTAGACCAGTGATGATCAACCGTTTTTGACTGCGGACCGCAAGTGAACCTTATAGGTTCTCGGTGGGTCGCATGCATTTTTTATTACTGAATTACAGGCTTTATGCCTGCGAAGTACCAAAATAATCCTAAGCCTGGCTTAGTAAACCAGGTACTAAAATAGTAGATGCTAACGATATGCAAAGAACTAATTTTGAAAATTTTCTCATCTTTTTACTGGCCAAAGTGCCAAGCAAGCCGCTTGCTCCGACAGCAGTGATACACTGACCAAAAAGAGAGCGAGGGGATATTGGCACCGGCTTTTATGTTTTATTTCTTGCTTCCGTATCACCGGCAGTGGGCAACGGAATCCTTGAGCGCTCTACTCCAGGTGGCAGATGAGAGGGGAAAAAAATTACGTTGACAAGGCCTCGCGGGCCGCGGGTTGCTCATCACTGTCCTAGACGGAAAAATAGATAGTAAGAGTACAGGGACAAGGCGAAGAGAGAAAATGTCTGAGGGAAGATCGGGGAAGAATTAGGCTGTTCGGGTGGGTCCAGGCCGCTCTTCGTATATAGTAATTCTAGTAAAAAAAATTTTCTGACTATACCATAACAAGATCTCGTGCCTTTTTTTTTTTTTTTTTTTTTTTTAGAAATGTCTCTGTGGAGCATCAGCTGACAACGTTCAAAGCTTAGTGTAGTGCTAGACACAAGAGAGCAGCTCTGGCTCTCTCTTGTATCAATGTTCAGGTGTTATGTGAGGCAGAGGAGAACCCCCACTTGGAGCAGTTCGAGTGTTCATCCACGTCCATGCTTGATAAAAACCACTCCTCCAGCGAAAAGCAGGCACAGTATAAAACTTGTCCTTAAAACCGCTGACTAGCTGGTTTAGTCCTTTTTAGCAACACTGGATGCTGGTCCTGTCGTCTGCTCCTCAGACACATGACACTACATTAATTTTATTTATTTTTCTCCCAGTACAATAAATTGGAACTTCTGTTTGATCAAGCAGGAGAGATAAAACAGAAGCAGAAGCATAGTCCCGAAACCCCGTTTCTGAAGGGAATATTAGCCGCACACTCAAATTTTCACTTCTGTCTCTTCATTGCACTTTTTTTTAAAATTCCGATCGATGTATCAGCAAAAGCAGATGGGCTTCTCTGAAGTGAAAGACGCCATGTTGAACGAACACTTGCGCGATCGCTCGGTATAAATTGCCTTCCGTCCGGCGAAAGCGACGACGGAAAGAGGAAATTTTCGTTCTCGAGTGTGACGAACTTCCGCCATTCGCTTTCAGCGCCGTTTTCTGCTCTGTATAAATCCACCTTCACTCATCCGAGCCATTGGCATTCACCAAGGCTCCATCCTAGGGCCTCTCTTAATTTGCATACACGACCTTCCTCCACAAATGGCAAAATCTGATCATGCATTACCTCTGCTAAACTATTGCACACGGTATGCCGCTATCTTTTTGCAGTTTAATTTTGACAACCTGCGCACTTGGACTCGAAACGCATTTTCTAAATAATTTCCTTGTCCTCCCTCACTAAAGACACTGACCCTATTTGTTAACCTCCAAAGACTTGCGGTGGCTTGCACACGTGCCAATTCCTATGGATTTTATTTTTTCTGGGTCTGAGGAGATTTGACGGAGAGCAGCACTATTCGATCTTTAAACCCCTTGTGGAAACTCTCCCCACTCGGTAGGGGGTTCAAGGTAGTTTCAAGCTCAAAAAATACATTTACCTAACATTTCTTTGAGCAATCTCTTAGATTTTGCATTCTAATTTTTTATGGCCGTAAGACCTACTGTTCTTGAGATCCTGAAGTTTCGGGTCACATCACGTCTCGGCATTGATCTTCAACTGTTTCCGCTCATGAAGTTGATCGATAACTCAAAANGTTTCGGGTCACATCACGTCTCGGCATTGATCTTCAACTGTTTCCGCTCATGAAGTTGATCGATAACTCAAAAAAAGAAGCATGATGACCTTGGACCCATGAAATGACACATTTCTTCTGTCCTCCAATATTCAAGATTGTGTTTATCTTTTGGTTTCAAGGACGATAATAAATAGTGAAGATCACTCCTCGGTTGAAAGAGCTGACTCATTCCATGTCAAATGACCCTTATGGAACATTTTGTTGGGTAATCTATCTGATTTCGGTGAAACATGAGGCACGGGTTTCGCCTACAAGAAGTACAAGTGCGTCGATTTTCACGTTCATGGGAGAAACTATTCTTGAGACTTAACATTCAGAGATTTTAGGTCACAGTGTCCTTTAACAGTGTTCACCTCATAACTTCAGTCCCACTGAAGCTGCGGGGATCATTTATTGCCTTTTTTTTTTTTTTTTTAGCCCTTTGTAAGACCTTTCCAAGGACGCAAATATGGACATCGAATGAGACAAAACAATTTGAAAGATAACAGATGACCTTTCCCCCATGACATGATCAATTGCCCTATCAATGATTTCCTTAAAATTATGTGCGCATCATCCTGTGTGTATAATGCAACTAGCCTCCAATTTTCAGCATTTTTTGGAGGTATTTAAAGAAAAAGAACAATAGGGCCAGTGGCCGATCCAAGGGTGGTGGGGGGGGGGGGCAGTCGCCCCCCCCCCCCCCCCCCATGGCCAGGTTAAAATTCTTTTTTTTTTCTTCTTTTTTTATAGCTTCTACATGAATTTTTTTTTATCAGGGCCAGTGAAATAGATATTCAAGTTTTTATCCCAGACGAGAAATGAAAGAGGCGATAGGACGAGGAGTGGTACGGGCAGGGAAGGGAGGGGGGGTGGCAGGTAGGAACCCTTTGAAAAATTTCTGTATCCGCCACTGAATAGGGCAATCCATCATGTCATTGGTGGAATGTCATTTTTTTCCTTCAAGTCATCTTTCAAGTCTTTTTTTTTTACATTTTTATTTCAACCAATGCCCATTTATTCCGCGTCATTGAAAGGGCCTTACGAAGCTATAAAAAAAGGACCATATATGAACTCCACAGCTGTTCAAGGTCGCTGTCCAGATGTTACGTGATCCAAAATTCCGGGATGCTATATCTCGTGAACAGATTCTCCCAAGTACATCAAATTTGGCACGCTTTCATTTCTTCATGGACCAAACCTGCTCACAAAATTGCATGAAAATCGAGAGATGACCATTTTGATGGGGTTTGGATTTGACATGGACTCCTCGATGTCTCAGTCCCAGTCCCGACTAAAATACCTCGGGAGCTTGACTGGTTCTTAATTAAAATCAGTACTCATCATTTACTACGAAACATACTCAGGAAGGCGGAAACTTGCGCATCCAGCCTTCCACCCGAAGAACAGAAGGATTTCCCAGTACGAAGCAGTCGAAAGACGGAACTGCCTTTCTCGACCGATGCGGGATGCCCTCATCGTGGCTTCCTCACGGTCAAATCGAGACCGCTCTTTCCGATAAGACTTCATTTCCCTCTAATATCATCTGGATTATATTGTTTGTGCTTTCACTTGCAGATAGAATTTTCCCTCGAAGTCCAGTGTGCTCACCGCGCTCATCGAGTGGTAAGAATTTTGATCGTTTCATTTCTTCATATCGCTTAATTATGAGCCACGTCTGAGGGGTTATTCTTCCTTCGAGGGGAAAATCTGATGGAAGATCAACAGTTACAGACTGGGATACTTCTATAATCCTTTTAAAAAACTTTAAAAGCCTTGCACTCTGTTACACAAGCAGTTACATTTAGACTGGAACTTTACTCTCAAGGTTTTTTTTTCTTTGTTTGGGCAGTATCTTCGCTGTACTCTCCTATCGCAGTCAAACAAATGAATAAATTAGATGCTGAAAGCCGGGGACAGACGGCCTTTTCATTCTCTAAGCGTGGGTAATAGGCATTCAGCGAGTGTGCTGTGTATGAGTAGGATTTTTTCAGAACTGATTCAGGTTTTTTTTATTCCTTTTTTTCCTGGGTGCTACCCAAGCTTCAAAATCTTCGTACTCGCAAATATATACATTGCTGAAATAATTCATAATTCTCAATGAGGTAAAGAAACTTAGTTCCAGTATGTGTGTCGCCAGTCCTCGGAACTACCAGGATCATACTGTTATGGGTTTTGTAAATGCTATGTACTGTGCGCGTCCCCTCCACCCTAGGCCCGAATAAATTTGATTTAATTTTATATGACTCCTTGTCAGACACATGCGAAAAGATATAAGATATCCTTCCTCGAGAAGGAAGACCTGGTAGAGCTTCCAAGAAAATCTGCGGCGGTGGACGACCGACGGATGATCACGTCTTCTAGGAAGTGCAGTAGAACGCACTCGACTGTACTGTCGCCCATCCAATCTCTATTCTGTGTAAATGATATTTGGGGATTATCATGGCCGCCCACTGTGTTCTGCGCTTCTGGATACCGCATCCTCGGCGAGGGTAGGCTGAGATGACCATTATTTTGTTCTCCCCTTCTATTTCTGTGCTTCACCGTTGACGTAGCCTTCTCCATTGAAGCGAGTACATTTCTGATCTTCTTTGATGATCCGTGAGTCGATTTTATTGTCCATTTATTTGGTGAGTCGTTGGCCTAGCTTATCCTTGGCTAGGTTTGGGATCAAAGTTGTAAATATCTCCGTGCATTGCGCAAAATATAAAAATGAATTACCCCGAAAAGAAGTTCTACATTCGTAGCCTACGCCTAAGGGTTTTTTTTTCTCATAGCTTTTTCACTCATCGCTGTCTATTACCACGTGAAATTGCTGTCGTGACTGGGAGTGGTTTTTGATCAAGCTTACACCTTAGTTTGTACTCTTATGGCGTTGATGTAGCACCTGTGCTTCAATGGTTTGCAATTGAACTCATTTAATGAGGGGTTCAGGCTTTCCTCTGGAAGAATTCTTCTGACCTCAGTGTTAGACCTGAGCATGGTCAACATTGATTGCATCCAGTGCCAACCAAAGTGGATTTACAGGTCAACTTAGGGGAAAACAACGAAACTCGAACGCTTCGGGAATGTGCAACTTGACTTGAGTGCTTAGGCTAAAAGTTTTGACTGCTTCTTCGACGTCCTCTTAGGCGATTTAATTATTTTGCTGTAGTTTCCCAGTTGAATAGAAGATGTTGTGGTTCTGATTTCCTATGATATTTTGATAGTGAGAAGAAGTACGAGTATGAAATCTCAGCACGCTCAGATTTTGGATGTTAAACAATTGTGTTTCAGTTGTAGAGTTTCATTGGGAAAATTGTTCCACGGAACTACATGTTTGTGCACAACTTAGAATGGGAGTTCCATACGGAATATGTTAATGGTAGGATAATATCCCACCAGTTTTGATTGATTGTGTCGTAAGACATAGACCCAAGCGCATGTTCGGTTTAATATTGCAAATCCATAGGTTGATGCAAAAGTCGAATAGTACGTTTGACTCTTGGTTTATGCATGTACATAGTGACGTGGAGCGTATCAGCATGTAGGCTTCCCGTCAGCAGACTTTGATGTTTCTTTTTCAAAGCAAAAGAACACTGATCTCATGTTTTCATGACTTTCATGTATATCATTTATGGATATTGCCTGATAATTGTTTTTGCCAACTTTTGGCTGCAAATACAAGATAATTGGAGTATATGAGAGCTACTGGTGTGCACAATAAAAAAAAAAGAAGGAACAGGAGTGTGCTGCTGGGATCACCTTGCTTTTTACGTCCTTCCATTCACAGAAATATTTATATTTGCAATGGAGTGACTTCTTATTGATTGCACCCTAAACCCTCTTGAATAGTTCAATTGTCATCCATCTTAGCAACATCTACAGTCTTAAAGTAATTTACCCTGGCTAAATTGGTAAATCGAGTGGGAATCATAATTCTTGCTTCCGCCAGAGTAGGGATTATGCGGTCAATCTAAAATTGTTTAAGTGGTCTCATATGAGCTACAAGTTTTCTTCAGGTCAGAATGGCAGAGTACACCAATTTCCAGTCAGACTACGATATGACATGTGCTGTCTCTGACGAGATAAGTGCCTGAAAATGCATGGAAAATAGGCAATATCCCACACATTCCTCTGTGTGGGATATTGTCTATGCTACTCCCCCAGTTCTTTATTGTAATTATGATAGGACAGAGTTATAGGCGTTTTTCCTGCTGAGGTAAGCATAGATGTGTCGTTTGTGGTATTGAGGTACAGATGTTTCTCTTTCCCAATGATGCTGCCCTTTTGGCCTGGTCTCAACAGCCGCCTCAGTGTGCTAGATCAGTTCAACTCTGAATGTACTGTGGCCAGATTAAAACTCAGCATCCCAGATTCAGGTTATGATCCTTTCAAGAAGTCCTGTGCAGTACACCTTGTTAGGCAGACCACCAGAACAGGCTGAGTGAAGTTTAAGTACCTTGAGAATTGGTTCTCAAGTGGTGGGTAATGCAGAAATGAGGTTGATAGCTGCATTCCAGGATTTATATACTTGCAGAAAATTTGGTAGATCATGGTTGGCAAATCTGACATTTCCAAGGAAGCAAAATTCTTGGTTTTTAAAAGCATTCACTTCCCCAACCCTACCTAAGGTTATGAACTGTGGATTACAGCTGAAATAATGAAGTTATGGACACAGGCTGCAAAAATGAGTTTCTTGCAGTGGGTGACTATTATTATGCATTCTGAGAAGATGTGGAGTACTGCCTTCCGTGAGAATGACAAGGTGAAGTAGTTATTTCTTGAGATCAAGAGATCTCAAGCCCAACGGTAGCCTGGTAGGCAATGCATCAGCTGCTTGCCCTCACAGAGACTCTAGGAAAGAATTTCCCAGTCCAACATGACTTGCTGAAGACCTGGTTGACCTCGTAGAAAGTAGAACTACTATCAAACAAAACTTGGTCATGAGTGACTTGGCATTCCACCAGCTGAGTCCATTGCTCAGAACCATGAACATTCTTCTGAGCCTGCCTGAGCTGTGACCTTTTAAAGTTGGGATGTGTAGCAATGAAAATGAATGAATAGGGGAAATGTTATGAACTCTAACTGGCAAAATCAATTTATTTTTCCTGTAGAAGGTGAATAAGTGCATGTTCCTGATTTAGATTTATCTTTGTTTGCTGAGATTTTACTCTCTTTTCTCCTCCTTTCTCATGCAATGCCTAGCATATTGTTGCTGTTGTATTTGATGGTTATCTTCCCATGTGAAAAAAAAGGTCAGTACTTCCATACCAACTGTGCAGTGCTTTCTTTGATGTATAACATCTCATAAATGACTGATCAATACCACTGGTGGTTGGTGTTCTAGCATTATGGGCCAACTGAAGTTCATTTTACAGTAATTTTCTTACACTTCTTATGAAGTCTAACTTTGTCAACATCAAGATTTACTTGAATAGATGAAAACAGTGTCAGAAGTCAATAAAAGTTTGCAACAAGTAAATGGGCAGGATTTCTTGTTATGTTCCTGGATCTGTAAATGGGTTTTAGTCTTGAGCTGTTACAGTGATGCGATAATACCATCTTTCTTATTGCAACATGTGAGTGGGCAGCTCTACCTGTCATCATCTTCTACATCTTCTCTACCCTTGAAATCAATTGATGTTAGAGGTAACCAGCTGGCTTATAGTCATTCATTCTAAAATCCATTTTAGGTTTTATTATGTTTAACATTTAAACATTAAGTTATTTTAAGCAGCTGGATATTAGATTTATTTATTTCTTATTTGCATTCTTTGCAGGATAATGCAAAGAGGCTCTTCAATGCCCTTGATCAGGGCAACTGTCAAAGTCCTCTTCTTGCTGGATCTCCTATCCATCATTGTTTGTGGTTAGTCTCAAACTGGAATGGATTATGGCAGGTATGATTCATATAAGATAGAAAAACAAATAATTTGATTCTGTCATTCTTAGGAGCCGTGGGGGGACACTGCTCTACTGACTGGCAATCAGTAGAGAAGCAACTTGACAATGAAGCTGGGAGAGGAGCCTTCAAATGTTTACTTCAACCAGAGACCCATTGTGGCCTGAATTGCCAAGGCATCTTCATGGTTGGTGTGAACAATTATAAGATGTGCAAAATGTCAATATTAAGAGGCAGAGATGCATGGTGAATTCTTGATAATGACAGAACCAGACCTTCTCACTGGTCATAGAAGCTGATGGCTGCCTTCATCCTCCAGGGATCTCCATCAATGTCACCATTCCCTCTATTCGTCTCATTTCGTACAAGCAAACATATCAGGAGAGTTCCAGACAGCCCATACCATGTGAATGCCCCATTTAATGGAATCACCATTCTGTGTTAAGATCTTTGTGCTTATATGCAAAGGTTATATGCTTATATGCCTGCTCTCTTGTGCAGATGCCTACTACTCATCAAAGAAGCAAGGTAATAGCCAGCTCTACTTCTCCATGGAAATGCAACATTTCTCAAATGGGAGCCTCCGATTCAACATGAGCATATTGGGTTGCACTGTCACAACCTCTGACTGCTATTTCAATGACACACTTCATTCACTTTTTTTAAATGGCAAGTTTCTGGGAGTCATCTCATTTGTCATGAGCTCATCATTCTTGTTAATGAAGTAGATTATCTAGTAGATGTGTAATGTATAGAAATCAGTCAATATCCAATGTGTTCACTTAAATCAAGTGGCCTTTGATTCATAATACTTATAATTTTTTCTGGTATTCATAGCAATACCATGTGATGACGAAGTGAGGAGATGCAATGTAACAGAGTTGTTCAAGTGCCTGCAGTATGAAACTTGTATTCCCCTCTCAAAAGGTGAGAAAATACAGGTTAATACCCAAATCCTTAAAAAATGTACTTTTCAAGGATTTTTTTTCTACCTCAGATGGTTCAGAAGGGGAGTGCAAGTGTCTGCTTCCATACACTGTGAATGAGAAAGGAGAGTGTGCTGTGGTCCCCACTAAGCCTCTCCCAACCACCACTAGTCCTTTGCCTCCTTCAGCCCCAACCACTCCTGGCTCGAGTACATCTTCTACAAACAGTAAGATTGCATCCAAAATGTATAGCATCAAATAGGTATCTTCCAGAATCTTTTTCAAACCCAATGAAAAGGAAAGCAAATTTCAATAGTAGCTGGGGTGAAGTGGATGCCTACTAGGAATATTGGTATCAGTGGAGGTAAGTTTTATATCCAACTGACCCTTGGATTTATCATCTCACAAGGGACACTACCCCAAGTGGTAATTTCAGATTTTCACCAAACTTTGGTCATTGAAAGTGCTCTCAAAAAGAAGTCAAATGGCACCAAAACTTGCAGTAAAGAAACAGGTTTAGGCCCATAACTGGCTCTCTCAATTTTCAGTGATACAGGATTATTATAGTCACGGCCCTATTTTCATTGACTATAACTTTACAAGGGAAAGTCAGATTCAGGTGATATTTGACAGAGAGGTTCATGAGTCAAGGAGGTTTTTTTCCCATGCCACAAACAGTGCTGATATTGACAGCAGTGCCACCTTCCTACTTGCTATGTAATTTTTTAGGCATTTGGAAAAAATCCATTCAGGCCTATGAATCACTCTGCCAAATATCAGTTGTATCTGAGAGTTCTTTCAAAAGATATGGTCAAACAAAGTTGGATTTTGACTACTTCTAGCTTCCTTTCTAGATTCCTAGCTTCATCTTGCAATCTATCTGCCTTTCTATTTGCATTTTTCCATTGACTTGACATGTCATGATCAATGTATTTACTTGCAATGCTTATTATGACCCTAATCATTGCTGTTTCATTTATGAGCTCCTCAGTATGAACAACCACAAGTTTTGGGTTTCATTGTGCCATATGAAACTTTACTTGGGTTCAGACCGTTTCAGTTGGGTTCAGCTTGCAATGGTAAGGCAGCAACCAAAGAAGAGTGCAACCAGTCTTTACAATGATGTTGTAGATTTTAGTCTTGAACAACCTGTCTAATCCTTCAAACTAGCATTAAACAAACTGATGAAATTGTGTGAAGTTTTCAAAAAATATAAAACATGTTTCTACCTACCAGGTGGAACAAACACAGCTGTAGCTCTGTTTTTCAACTATAAACATTGCAGCAGTGCATTTTTTTCTCTGTTCCCAGTACATTGCATCATGAGAATATAGTTGCAAACGTGCCTACCCTTATAGTTCACACCATGCCAAGGATCAAGAAACATTTTTTTGGTTGCATGAAGAGTACAGGGCATTGAAATATGCTGCAGAATGCAAGAAGTGCATAATGGCAATTGCATGTTGCAACTGAGTGCATAAGAGTGAAGTCCAAATGAGTATGTGAAGCAGAATTTCTCAAATTGTGCCTGTACTGGGTTTCTGAAGTGTTTTGTATCCCAATTTAGCAATAGAATACCCTCTTCTACCCATTGCACAGTGGGCCAGAATGGCGAAAACATGCGCAAAAATAAAAAATTAGCAATATTATCTTATAGTGAAAGGAAATTTGTGAATATTGCTTTCAGAACATGTTTAGCTAGATTCAAACGATTTTCAGGCTGTTCCAAGCAAAGTTTTAAAGACCTGAAGAAGCTGTCAGGCCTCGCTGTAGTGGTGATCCTTGGGAGGGAGCAAGAATGTAAGAATCTCAGATAAGTAGGCATATTAATTTCATTTATATCAGAAGAATCTGCAAGAAACTCTACTTGCTCGCTAGTGACGATAAGTAAGCCCTACGCACTATCCTAGTTTGAAAACAGAATTCTGTGGAATGACTTTGCAATTTAAACTATTAGTAATTTTTCAGGCAGATGAATGAGTGGTTTTACTCAAGCTAAGGACTAACTTATTTTTCCTGCAAGTAATGGAAGGATCATAATAGTATAACTATGGCAAGTTATTGATTATCATGATAGCATCCACTTTTCATGATTTCATATTTCCAATTTAAACTTAGCAGCAGCTTCAGTCATCTTGTCCTGTGACTTCACTAAAATGTGACATCTACCATCAAAAAGTACACAGACATTTTCTCAACTAGAGTGCCATCTAGCGACGAAAATAAATATCACCAAAATGAGTCATTACCTCTTCAATTGTTTTCCATCAATGATGGTGATTATTTCTGACTTTCATTTCATGGACGAAAATTATTTTTTCGCATCACTGGCCCACTGTGCATTGTTACAACAGATATTTTCATTCTGCAGTGAATTTCACTTCCTTAAACTTTTTCTGCAGCAAAAAAAAACACCTAAAAATTTATTGCATCTCTTGCCTGGTAGAATCCATACACCCTCTTCATGCCTCATATCAGCTCTGCTATTGCATTTGTAAACTGTCTGCCAGCAGGACTTCTATTTGATGAGTACAGGGTCTTGCAAAACACTTTGCTAGGGGAGTACAACAATTATGGAGCATATAAAATATGAGTATTATACACATTTTAAAAGCTAATATAATTCTGATTTCATATTTGTCATTGAAAATTATAATCGCAGGGGTGGTTGGCGATGATGAAAGACAACATGGGACTGCATTCGAGCATACGCCCATCAAGAAACAAGGGAAGCAGGTGCAACCTTTATCAATTGAAAGTGAATATCTCACCACTGAATCGCAGTGAGAGATTGAGTTACTGACAACTGGAACAAAGGATATGAATCTTATTTTACAAAATTTTATGATGGCAGGGCAGAAAAATTGCCTGAAGTAAGGAATAACAATGTGATGAGACCAGTGGGAAAAGACTGAAATGATTTTTGCAACTTGACCACTTTTTTTTTTTTTAAGTGGTGTAGAAAGCTAATCAGATGATGATACCATATCAATAATGGCTTTAAGGAAAAAATAGAAACTATGATTAATGAGCTTGGTTCTGACTGAAATTCTGAAGCAGTTGTCCTGCAAAACTTCCAAAGTGTTATGCTTCATTTAATGAATAACTTTTTGAAAATTTGTTGAAATTACGCATAAAGCTCCCAACGTTTGAGAGATGTATGCGAAGCCAATGGCGATCACACAAAAACTGATGCATTACTGTATTAAGGTTGAATAAAGGTTTAAATTGATATAACTTACAATTGTTCTAATTGGACCTTATGTTGTACCCCCCTAGCAAAAGTTTATGCAAGGCCCTGTACTGGTGAGCTTCCAGTCAAATGTCTGGCTACCAAGGAAGTGTAGCAGACACATGAAATTTTTTAGTATTTCCCAACCATAGAGTGCTATTATAAATTAATATTTTGTATAGCACAGAAGCTACAGAATGTAGGAGTTGACTGAAAATTTGAATTTCAATTGACAGGTGGGGGAATCCTGGCAGGAGTCTTTGTTATTTCCCAACCATAGAGTGCTATTATAAATTAATATTTTGTATAGCACAGAAGCTACAGAATGTAGGAGTTGACTGAAAATTTGAATTTCAATTGACAGGTGGGGGAATCCTGGCAGGAGTCTTTGTTCCGCTGTTGCTGCTGGTGCTTGGTGCATGTGCCTTCACTCTTTACCGCAAAGGATTCTGTCCTCGACTGAGAGCCCCTGCAGGTGCTATGACCCTGGTTGAAGATCCCATGAGGCGAGGTGATGACGATGATGTCCCCCCAGTCACATGACCCATCACATATCTCCCTATCTTCTCAGACTTGTGATACTTCATTGTAAATCAAGAATCTCTTCCCAGTTACTTTCTTCTTCTCATTTAATGCACTAGTCAGTTGTGTTCTTCATCAGTAAAAAGAACATGCCGTTTGAGGGTCCTTGTTACCTGTGCAGTAGTTTGATCTGAATAAAGAATGATGATCTTGACAATACAATAATACCTTTCAATGCCCTGAGACACATGAGATGTCATACTGAATCTGAGGTTTTATTATATACTCCCCTGTATCTGGAACGGAAATCAGTCAAGATGATCTCATTCTCTAACTTAAGGAAGAACCTAGGAAATAAAAGCAGCAAACACACTTGAAAGCATGAAGAAGCAGAGAAGGGGGAAATATGGGGAAACAAAACCCTTCCTGAATGAGGTCAACTTAAAAGGTGACTGGGACCTGTACAGACACCCCAATACTGGATCACAGGACAAAACCTCTGGGCTACTTACAACCCAAAAAAGGGGAATAGAATGGAAAAGAGAGAAATTATGTATGTCAAGATGCACTGATACACTCACTCGCGCTATCTGGGGTTCTTGTCTCTTCAGTCCACAATGTCTCTTTCCATTGCAATAGCACATACTAGATCTAAACAGGAACAGTGAAGGAGGGACTGAGTACAGGTTGTTGGTGGGGGAGCAATGGTGTATCAATTCCATGGCATATGGATAAGGAAAGAATTCTAGATGCGAGTGGCATTCTGCTTGTGTTTCCAAGCTGACACATGAGAAGGAAAACAGTGAAATTATTTTGCATTCTTATGTAGAAAGAGAATCAAATTTGCTGGATCTTTTCCCCAACCACCACAGGGTTGTTCTTGCGAATCTCCTCGGCACCATGGGTCTTATAGTCAAACGAGCAGTTGTGTTTGTCGCTGTATCGATGTAAAGCACAGAACATCCCGCTACATCGACATCCGAAGCCTGTGAAGGAAAAGCCCATGTGACTAGTTAGTAGTGCTCTACCACATACTATGGATTCGACAGAACACGAAGGAAAGCCCAGTTAACAGACCTGTTAGGCCGATCTTCTTTTTGCAAATCCCACACCGATTTTTCTTCTTCTTTTCAGGGCTTTCTTCAAGGGAGGCATCAGGAACAGTGGCAGGAGTTGCAGTAGGTTCTGTCACATTTGTGGATGCTGAAGCTCCAGTGGAGGCCTGACCCAAACTGGCCCCAGTTTCACCCTTCCAATGCAATAAACCACCATTCTCAGATTACTACCATAAAAGGGAGGAATAAAAGCACAGCAACTTGCAATGGAAATAACCACATGATTCTGATGAGAGGGTTGAGAGTGAAGTGAAATTTGGGAGTTCTTTTTGTCCATTTTGAGTTACTTCCAGAGAAAAGACATTACATATAGATAGGGGTGATGGTAAAGAAAGATAAGTTGAAGAAATATGTGTTGCCAAGCAAGCAGTCAGGATGTTTCTCTCCTAAACAAAAATAACCTTATGACATCACAACATGCCTATGTGATATGGCTTGAAGAGTTATAGGTGTTTCTTAAACGAAGAAAAAGGTAACAGAAAATGGTCCATATTTATTGTCAAGATGATGAAATCAATCATAAACCAATATGAAATTTGATTTTAGTAATTTTAGAATACCAGAGCATTAACATGAAATTGGACAATGGGAAAATATGCAAAATGAATGTTTTCCCAATTGTGTAAGTATCACTAAGTATAAACCTCTGTCCTATCTGAGCCAGAAGTCATATCAACAGTGTTCCATAACCTTTTAACAATTTTTTTTACACATTTCTCCATTAGCATGCACAAACAGTTTTATCTAAAAAAATATACAAATTTATTATGGATTCTTATTTCACAGAAAAAATGAAGCATACTTGATTCTCTGACTTGGAATATGTGTTATGTGATATCGTGTAATGTACGTGTTATGTGTTAACTTGTAATAGTTACAAAATCAATACATGCAACCAAATAACAAGTCAAGCTTTTGACTTCTGTAGCAGGGGAAAGCATTCATGATAACAGGTAATAGTAACTAGTAATTAAAAACTGGAAAAAAAATTGCTTGCTTGCTACCACACAATCCTACTGACAATGACAAGCACAGCCTTGTAAGAGTTGTAATGCACATTTGCACATTATACTACTAGAAAATCCACTTCACAAATGAGGGAGTGAAATATATACCAGTAGGAAAATAGCAGTGAATTATTACAACATTATTGAGAAATGCCAAGTCCATGGCAAGGATTGGATGCAGAAGGCAAAGTTGACAAGAAGTAGAATCTATCTTGCATTACAGTGTCATTTTATATTAGATAAGACTTAAGAGTCGGTCTTAAAGAGTCTATATAGTCTCTTTATACACTTTGGAAATAACGATCGGTAACATATACACGTTGTTGGTATATTAAGAAAAACCGACTTTTTCATCAATAAAAAGCAATACACAATGAAGTGCAAGAAATTATCTTTATATAGATTTCAGACACAAATGGGTGTGATGGGACTCTCCTTAAGCAGCCAGCTATTTCAATGCACCCTTGCTACAACCTAACAAAATCCCATGGGATCAAGTGATTCAAAGAGTGAGGTAGGTGTATAACACATAATACTCATCATTCAATGAGAGGTTTGTTCACAGTTCTCAATGGTCCATTTTTTCCCCCCACCAGTTAGGCAATGGCTTGGTTAAATAAATTTGTCATCAAAGTTTTATTTCAGTTGTTTTAGTTGACCAATGGCAAGTGGCAACTGCTTATCTCAGGATTTACCAGTAAGCAACAACCAGTACCATAGAGACAAATCTTTCAATTCTATCCTGTTCCAACATCTACCAACCAATCATAACCATTCACTTTGATGGGCATGGATCATGGCAACATCCTGCACACCCATGCATCATTCCCATCAATATGCTACTTTAAAATAGTAACACTCAAATTAGTGATGTAATTCTGATATGGAAATGTTCAGGCCTCCTGGAACTCAAGAGGCATGATGATATTATAGATGACATTGCTAAACAGAAACCTGGAACCTACTTCATAAAAATTATCCAGTGCTCCAAGTGTCCATCATTTTGCCTGCTTCAAATGACATTACAGAAGGTAGTCTTTCTGCTACATTAGCTTTGAAAATAGAAGTCACACTAGAAACAAATTAGCTCTGCGTAAAAGGAATGTCATATTCTGATTTAAAGGTGAACTCCTTTAGGTAGATGTCCAATATTATAAAAGCATTTTATGGTTTTTCTTTTCCAAGGAAATAATGAAATTACCAAATCCTACTGTTTATTAGTACAACACATCAGGAAATAATAAAATTGAAACAGTTAAAATTGAGGCATATCAGCCTCTATTTGACCTCTTTAATACTGCCAAAACCCATCCCAGTTGCCCTCCTCCCCACGCCAAATGGCAAACATTCACAGTAACAAGAATCCTCAAAGTCAAGCATTAAAAAAATAGTTGCTATTTCCAAAGCCCATGGGGAACATTGCATTGAATGTATATGCATGACAAGAAGGGATTAAAAATACTGCCCATTGAACCACATAAGAAAAGTAAATAGGCTTATCTTATTTGATGTCAAATATTTACAGAGAAGAATGTCATGATAAGATAGTATATTTATGTTGGTTTGTGACATATGGTAGGATGCACTCACCATCTGAGTTTTTAAGAAAATGTCAAATATTTCTGAATGGTGAACAATACTTGCAATAGAGAATATTTTTGGAGCTTCATTAAATAACATTATTATAGATGTTGCAATAGACTTTTTCCCGTATTCTTCCTTCAGATACTTCAGTAGTAGCTGCTTAATGAAGCTAGCAACATGAATGAG